TCGATAGCGTAATAGAGATTGTCTTCCTATCCACCGACGCTAATTACGTACAACGTGGACTAGCGAGTATTTTATCGGAGCACTCCATCAATTATGCGCGTCGTTTACTAAGTGGCACACTGGCGGAGGAAGATTTACCAGCGGCACATGTGCGGACGCTTAAACCTGGTGCAGTTTGCTCCATATTCACATCTCTATTCACACAACGCATTGGGCGCAAGTTTAATTTTGAGATTTTAAATAAAGTGCCATTTAGGGAATTTTCATTTGAGGGAAAAACCTTCGCTGAGCGAATAGATCCCATACACGAGTTTGCGACATTTGAAGCGTTGCGATTGTGAGAGATGGCTGAGTGGAAAATGAACATACATACATACGTATACGATTATGTTGCTAACCAGGTGTTAATTGTTAATATAATATCGCTTAAGATACGAGTATTTGTAGATTTGAAGTCATAAAACTAAACGTTCCGAAATAAACGTCCTACCATCCACACAGTGTAGGAAATGCGACGGCGAATAAATTTGGTGTGGTTGCATATTATTATTATTTTGTTTAAAATCGACCTTGTCTTTTAAGTTTTAAGGGGAGTGGGTAGCTGATATTCAGCCGGGTCTGGGACAATTGAACCGTTTGACACCCCCTCTCATCGAACTGATTAGTGCCAGTGATCTTAATTTTTTCCGTGTATTACATCTGTATGTTGACAAAAACTTGGTTTTACTATGTAGGTCGAAAGCCATACTGATAAGGCCCAGTCCGTTCGTTGACGGTGTGCTTTAGCCTTTCACCCATCGCGCTCTATGAGGCCTTATAGCCGATGGTCAGAAGGCTGATCACTTTGTAAAAATCGCGTATATGGCTGGGTTGCTCTTCTTGTGGATTGGACAGGGCACGCTTAGGCTGCAATCGGTAGGCATGCTTTCGTCAGATAATATTTTCCATAGAATATGTTACATGCATCTCACCAGCTCCTCGCCGTCATATTTCCCCAGCGACGGTACCTAACGTCATTGTGCCGAATACCGCTCTTTAAGGGCCGGATATTAGTTATCTGCTTTTTAGCATTTTAACGGGCTTTCGAAATGCGAAAGATTTCCTTTCGTTTGCAATACATTGTCCCTTACGCACAATTACTCAATATGTCCCCCTGCTACGCTACGTTTCTGAAGGAATAAATGTAGCTGCCTATTGTAGCTTAAAAAAAAATCGAATTTTAAAAAAACTTAATACTTAATCTCAGTTTTAATTTATTTTTTTGTGTTCGCTAGTTAAGTCTAAAAAAATGCTTACTTAAGTACAAATACGATTAAAACAACACCTCGTTTTCATTCCTCGTTGCTCTTGCTCATACATACTTACATACATACTAGCGCATATTGACTCTGCATGAACAGTTACTCCAAGAATTGATCCTATGTTATTGATCAATTTGTATGCTGAAACAGTTTGAAAAGCGAAAAAACTCCCTTAAAATCTTCGCAGCATTCGCTATCGATAATTATGATATCTAAAAATCTTTAAAAGAATAGCAGATGCACCTAACAACATACAACATCTAGTTACATGCTGACAGATTTGTCTGATCATTGTATCTGTTACTTTTCCATGTTGCGTACTGCTTTTTATTTAGACAACTTTGGCGATGGAAATATAGCGTAGCGATTGCCAGAATTCCACTGCAGATCACAAACTTTTCTCACTTACTTTAATTCTTATACATGTATTTGTTTTGCTTGACAGATTTATTCGAATGGCATGTATTTCGAAGACTTAACCCTTTCACCATAAATGGGTTCATATGTACCAGAATTTTTAAATCTAATATATCCCAATAAAGTTTAAAACATTGGGCCGTAGGAATAAAACCAAGCAATTGCTTTTACTTAAAATTCTAGATCTTATAATTAAATTTATTTGAAAAAAATAATAATAATTATTGAATTATGTCGGTGCTTCACTTTGTTTTTAAAAGATGCACGACTTTTATGTTGGTCGTGTCGCAACAAAAATTTCTTCGAAGTAAGGCCAATTTTTTATAAATTGCACTTGTTATTTAAAAAAGGGCAAAAACAATTAAAAAAAAGAATATTAAAAATTAAGTCCATTTTTTAGCCGCTTGAAACATGCACTTCATTAGATTTAAATTGTGGTGTGCTTATAAAACCGCATACCCAAAAATTTTTAAAGATCCAGATTGAAAACTTTGAATTTTTTTCCTGAACTTTGTATCAAGTTTAAAACTTTGATTTGATTTGGACAATATGTATGTAAGTATTTGTACAGAAGTAAAATGTACTTGAAAAACATTGTAAATATTTAAAATACTGAACTCATGAAAACTTATTTGAGTCACTGTATATACCTCTGTATGGGCATACTTATGCACATAAAAATACATACATACATACCTTTATTGCTTGTTCACTACATCCTCTTTGTACGCTTTCAGGCGTGCATTCAAGAGGATTTGCACTTAATACCCTCGGTCAATAGACTTGCTATGCAGCTCAACCTCGACTATTCAAGAGGAGGGAAGATTTAGTGTGTGTGATAAGCGCCAGGATTGTGATCTCTGATCCTTTTTTTTTTGATACTTCATTGTGGGCTTTAGAGGTTTGCTTTCACTTTGCATTTTCAACTTAACGAAACGAAAATAAAAACCTATATTTTTAATTTTTCAATTGACATTGCAATAAGCCTATATTCACCTCTAGTTTTTTTTTTGTTGGGTTTTCATGCACATATACATACATTGATGCAATTTCTTTCGCTTAAAGGACTTTGCCGAGGGGAATTGCGTGTAATCAAAACGTTAATATGATCCTGTTTAGATAGGTGATCATGAGTAGGGATATGCATGGAAAAGTGATAGCTGAACTCATACTCGTAATAATGAAGGAGATTGCGGCTGAAGTTAAGCTTGCACAAGTACATACTTTGATTTACTTACTTAACTCATGGAAATATTGCTCCTCTTCATGGTTGGGGCAGACACAGACTGGCTCTTATTCAAGTGTCTTAACTAGCAAATTCATACTTTTCACCTCACCGACTGAAGGTAAGATTGGAAGCTGTATTTTTTGACAAGAAAGGCATTTAAATTATTCTAGTTCCGCAATTTAATAGTAGCAATGTGTGAGCCTAGCGGAGAAGGCAATCTCATCTTTACTTTCTTATATAGAACATGCCATACGGTTAAGTTGATCCCACGGTAACATCCTCACCGAATCCAAATATCCATCAAATGGCTTGGAACAGCTCGGTCATCAATGATCGAGATGCGTCTCTTTTCGGGTTCTTATGCTCTACAAAGTTTACTCTATGCAATAAAGGCAATTACTTCATTGTATACAATCGAATAAGAGGAGGTTATAGACATAACTTTTTAAAAACAAAAAAAAATTTTAAAATTCTTGAAAGACCAGTATGGAAGAGTTTCAACCAATTGAAGTCTGAAGGATCATCTCTGTATACGGAGGAGTGAATCCTATATGACAACTTATTCCTTCCAAGCGATATACCAAGTGGTGGACGATGTAGCTAAGGTTACTTATGTCAGCAGCTCGAAAAGCTTTTATAAGGGTAAAGTTCACTAAGAATGGGAATACTTAAGAAGGAGATAGAAAGGGAAACGAAGGCGTCGCGATGACAAACTTTAGGGGACCTCGAATCGAGATCAACAGCCGTGCGATAGGGAAGATGCCTTTCCAACAGTTCTGCTCCGCACAGCTTTCTGGAAAAGTCAGGAGGAGGTCACACTCAAAGCAAACTTGGAAAATTAGAGCTTCTAATGGACGTCTAATTTCCCTGATATGGTTTTTGAGACAGCCAATCACGTGATCGCAACCCCCGTCATTTACAGGCGAGACAGTTCAGTCGATGAAATCGGTACAGAAGGTAAGGTAGCGTGGCTTAATAGACCCTTCCAACTCTAAAAAGCTCCGGGTACGTCTGCCGTAATAAATATCTGACTAACGACTAGTTAGTTACAAGGCCAGTCTCCTCCTTAGGTATATACCAAGGTCATTAAGGAGGTGAGGGGTCTTCCTCCAACAAATTATCTACCATCAGTCTCTCTTTGTTTCGCCTGAAGGTGATGAAGAGACTTCTGAGTGTAGATAAGTATGTACTATGAGTTGCCTTACTTCCGAAAATGTTCATTCAGTTTCTCCAATGCGATTATCCTGAAAAAGTGCCTCACATTTCTGAAGAGCTACTTCTTCGAGAGCTTAGGCAGCTTAAGTAAAAGATATGTATCTAAAGAGGGGTAGAGGGAAACCAGTGGTGTGTGTTTTTAGCGAGACCCACCTACCGACATGTAAATCGACCCACTGAATCCGAATCTGGGCTCCGTTTGATTCGTACACCTCCTAAATTTCGAGTTAATAGCGAAATTTGTTACAAAAAATGGGAAAAAATTCTGTTTTTTTTGTGTGTCGGTGTAATTGATCTTTCAAATAAGAATTAGTACATATATATACATTTATATTCTGTATTAGTAAATATTTTATATTTAAATTGAAAGATTTTATTTCTTTACAAAAGTACATAGTACATATTAAACCTTTTTTTATTTTACATTTCGTGGTCTAATTGATCACGTTTACATATTACCTCAACAGTGTGAGGGTAGCGGTTATTATTTGCTTATTCAAAATTGCACTTACACTGACAAGGGTGTCAAAATATAAATTCCTCATTCAATTGTTTTGCCCTATCCAACGACATAATTTCTGTAACGTATAAAGTGCATACAGACACAAAGCGCCAGGACGATTCAATTGATAAATGACCCTGTAAGAAAATGCTTGTTATTAGCAATGTTTGAAGTTGGTGTGTTTTCTTTCTTGTGCTAGAAAGCTAGAATAGTGGCTGTCTAAAAATAAGTATAACTGCTGTTTTGATTTATCTATAATAACTAGAAGGGCAATGAAAAGGCAACATTTTTTTTTTTTGTAGTAAATAAAACGCCATAAGTCCACACATTCGAAGTCAAGGGATATGAAATATCATGTTGTTGGTGGGAGATCCTCTTTTCGACGTTTAATAGTGAATAAATATGTATTTGTTCGTGTTGGTGAGGGTTCACTCTTCTCTTCCGTCATTACTTGTCAAAATTTTTCTGAAATACCAGTACAAAATCTCTAGAGAATTTTATCTACTTTGACGTACAATGAATAGTCGACACATGGTTTCGACAAAAATAAATAAAAATCGATCAAAAAAGGTTTCTCTGCACTGCAGAAACATGTATCCTATACACACCTTCTTGCCCACCATGCAAAACATGAGAAATAGGCAACAATCGTCAATGGCAACAAATTGGCGACTCACCGGTTTATTGCTGT